GTTATTGCGGACCCACATTTTTATCATGAATTGCTGTTATTTAATAAAAACATGTTATACTGCACTAGTTTAATTAGATAAATTTTATAGTCATTAATTTTAATTACTTTATTTCTGAAATAGAGTTCCTTTTAATTTATTATATTTCAATCTATCATTATTAGTAACAAAATTAATTTATATGTATAATTTATTATAATTATATAACATGTTATATTTTTATTTCACACAGCATAGCAGCATACAGAGCATAAATGACATAAAAATGATGGGGGCATTGCCTATGCAAAAATTTCTCACGGTCTTCCTGTCCCCTTGCCCAAGTATATGACTCTGAATAGTGCCCATGGTTTTTCTTTTGGCGACCATGCCACAACCTATAAATAAACCATCGTCTCAAAACCTCTTCATAAACCCATCAACAGCCCTTTACTCTACTGAGCCATGCACGCTTCTTGAATTTCCATACCCATTTTCCCATCCATGGAGAAGTCTAATACGCAAGTCGGTTCAACTGCTCCGCCCAGCTCGGCTCCGGCGCCGGTTCAGCCTTCTGCTTCCAGTGGCACCTTGGGTTGCTACTTGGCTTGGCGATTGGTCGAGATTGGCGTGAGTGATGTCTTTTTCGTGCCGGGTGACTTCAATTTGACCCTTCTGGACCATCTGATCGCCGAGCCACAGCTCAATGTGGTCGGCTGCTGCAACGAGCTCAACGCCGGCTACGCACGTGCCAAGGGCGTTGAAGCGTGTGTGGTCACCTTCACCGTCGGTGGGCTCAGCGTTCTGAATGCCATCGCTGGAGCTTACAGCGAGAATTTGCCACTTATTTGTATCGTTGGGGGGCCGAATTCCAATAATTATGGGACGAACCGGGTCATTCATCACACAACGGTTTGCCCGATTTCACCCAAGAGCTACGCTGCTTTCAGACTGTCACTTATTTCCAGGTGAGCAGTGATTATTGTTGTTGTTATTTCGTTCAATTTATTTGTTCTCACTTTAAAGCACTGATCTCTAATTTGGTGATGAATGATCCTTTCAGGCAGTGTTAAATAACTTGGATGATGCACATGAGCTCATTGATACAGCAATATCAACTGCTTTGAAGGAAAGCAAGCCGGTTTATTGAGCGTAAGCTGTAATTTATCTGGAATTCCTCATCCAACTTTTGCCCGAGACCCAGTTCCGTTTTATCTTGCACCAACGTATGACTTCTTTTTGTTACTTACTCACATTGTTTTAGTTTAATCCTTTTTTTTGTAATTTCATTATTGCTTATTCCGAATTTATATGACAATTTATATTCTTGCCTCTGGAATGTGAAAGTTCATTTGTCATGGAGGAAGTATTGTATGCGTGATTCACAAGTAGTTTGCCTGCGTTGCATCTTGAAATTAACTCCATGAGTTTATGAAGCATTCTTTGTCGACTTTTCTTAGACTTCTTAACACTTACATCTACTCATGTATGTGTAATTTACTGCACTTGTTTTGAGAATGTGATTTACTTTATATTCTCTGCTTCCGTGATAGAGTATGGGTCTGAGAGTAACTTCCATTTCCCTTTTCTCAATCATGTTCTGTTTGTTCTTACAACCCTTCGTGGGATTACAGTAACGTACTTTGTTTTATGCAGCGTGAGCAACCAGTTAGGACTAGAAGCTGCTGTGGAAGCAACAGCCGCCGTGCTAGACAAAGCTGTGAAGCGAGTCATAGTGGGTGGGCCAAAACTAAGGGTGGCAAAGGCGCAACAGGCCCTTTTGGAGTTAATTGAAGCCAGTGGATATCCAATAGCTGTAATGCCCTCAGGGAAGGGGCTCGTACCAGAGCATCATCCACATTTCATTGGGGCATACTGGGGTGCTGTTAGTACAACATTTTGTGGCGAGATAGTGGAGTCTGCTGGTGCCTATATTTTTGTTGGCCCTATCTTCAATGACTACAGCTCTGTCGGATACTCATTGTTGGTAAAGAAGGAGAAAGCAATAACAGCCTAATTGGATGACTATCGGCAACGGTCCCTCCTTGGGATGGGTTTTCATGGTTGATTTCTTAACTGCATTGTCCAAGAAGCTGAAGAGAAACAGCACAGCTGTGGAGAATTACCGGCGGATCTTTGTTCCCCCTGGCATTCCTTTGAAGCGGGAGAACAATGAACCTTTAAGAGTTAACATTCTATTTAAGCACATTCAGGTAAGTTTCTAAAGATTATACAAGTCTTGCTCATGCTTAACCAAATGATGTATCACTTGTCAATTGATCGGGGATCAACTACTTAAATTAAAGCATTGGGTATTTTTTTAAAGAATGCAAACACGAAGCCCAATTAGTTGCTATATTGCTGACTAATTGATGCTAGATAACTAGATATTCATACAAGGTTGTCAACAATATCCATTGATTTAGGTGAAATTAGGTTTTTTATTTCTTAAATTCTTAGGTTTCTTGGCTTTTTGACATGGTATTAGAGTATAACTGACCAGATAGTTTGAACTTTCCGCCTTTATTCCCTAGTTCTATAAAAAATTTCAGTTCAGACTGGAATTTTCATACAAGGTTGGTGTTAGCATGTACTCTACGATTCAAACTCATGCGGGTTGGTGGTATCTTAAAATTATGAAAACCACTATTAGTTTGTACGTAAAAAGTGAAGTTTCTAGTGGCTCTTTGATAGATCATATTGGTAGCCTTATGGTCCCTTAAAGAGATTCATTATTTTAAACCATTTCTATGATTTGCATTAGTTGTGTGAATATAATTTTGAACATTTCTCATAGACTTGGAACAAACTATTCCATAATACGTCATGTACAGCAAATTCAGAGTCTGTTTTGATTTGCCTGACCAAATTCCTCAAGTAAGTTCTCCTTTTAGTTCATTAATTGAATCTGTTGAACAGAACCTGCTGGGTGGAGATACTGCCATCATTGCTGAAGATTCTTGGTTCAACCATCAGAAGCTTCGTCTCCCTAATAACTGCGGGTAAGTTTTATAAAATATTTGCATTGAACAATGCACTAATTATGTCTAACGTACATTAACAACACCAAACTTTCAGTTATGAATTCCAGATGCAATATGGATCTATTGGTTGGTCAGTAGGTGCTGCTCTTGGATATGCAGAAGCTGCAAAAGATAAGCGTGTAATTGCTTGCATTGGGGATGGGAGTTTTCAGGTCCGTAAGATTATGAAAATTGAAACAGTCTACTAGATATCCTGATAATAATTTTTTTCTCAATCATTATACATGAAAAGCTCAGATTTTAAGGCATTTTCACAAAACAGAAGGTATTGCTATAGCTGATAATGGTCATAAATATTAACAATTTGATGGGATGTCATTATAGGTAACAGTGCAGGATATTTCAACAATGATCCGCTGTGGACAAAGGAACATCATATTCCTTATCAACAATGGCGGTTATACCAATGAAGTTGAGATTCATGATGGCCCATACCATGTGATCAAGGATTGGGACTACACTGGCCTTGTTGATGCTATTCATAATGGAGAGGGCAAATGCTGGACGGCAAAGGTTAGCATGAATGGAACAGTTAATCCTGATATGTCATTAGGTTATATGCATCATAAAGTCGAATATTTTTGATAAAGTAGAACTGTGGCTGATGATGAGCTTTCACATTATCTTCATGCTTTTCTGCATGTCCATGATGTCTATGGCTACTTGAGAGCCGTTGCGGAACTGCTTAAGTTAAAAAAGGTTTCACAAATCCTCTTAAATTCTAGCTGGTTCCAAACTACACATAGTTTGTCTAAAATTTGTTTTGAACTAGTTTAATATCAAATATTTTTTGGTAAATCTTTGTGAACACTTTTGTTGAACTTTGAGGTTAACTATCAAGAGAAACAGAAATATAGAAAACTTTGATTGAAAGAAAAAATGATTTGTTTCAAAAATGTTGGAAATTTTTTTAGCTAATTTTGATTTAAAAGCTGACTCAATTATTTATTAGTTGTTAATATTAATTATCACATGTCTAGGCTCTGTTTATCTCATGGCCACTGGTCAGATGGACGTAGGTTTAAGAACTGCGAATTCATGCTCACAAAGTAGATTATTTTAGAGATTATAATAAAATTAGTACTTTTCTCAGTAATTTAAAATTAAGTATTTTCGTAAAATATAGTGTGCTTTAATCACTCCAAACTTAAAAAAAAATCTATATGCCAATAGGCGTGTTGGATATTATGAAATTATTCATGGGTCTTAAATATTTTAAATAAACCTGTGACTTTAAATAACGCGCGGACGAAGCATGTCTACCAAAATAAAATGAAGCAGAATGGAATGAAAAGGAATACTCGCTTCATTAACCCTATAATCTTGTTATTGATGCCTCATAAAGCTCTTCCATGAAGTGTTTTGGTCATGTTACTGATGGACTGTGTTGCTGCAAGTGTAGGCACGAAGTGAGGATGATCTAACAGAAGCAATTGCAACAGCTACGGGACCAAATAAAGGCTCTGTGTGTTTCGTAGAAGTTTTTGTTCACAAGGATGATGCCAGCAAAGAATTGCTGGAGTGGGGATCACGCGTTGCTGCAGCTAACGGCCGTCCTCCAAATCCTCGATAGAATTTCGTATGCAATAATCTGCGCTATGATTCAGCGATTTCCCGCTTGAGAACCTGTACAGAAGAAACCTACCAGATTTGGGAAACAAGATAAGAAATATTCTTTGTCATTTCAGGGGCCTCCAACTTGTCCCTCAGATTCCATCTTGATTGTAATGTGGGATAAATATTGATCCAAGTACTCTTCTTTGAAATGTAGTCCGGGAGGACTTATTAGAGAGAAATTTTATCAAATAAATTATCTCCGAAGGATTTCTAATTGAAATCAAGATCAAACAGATAGTTTAAGAGCAAACGGATCTTTACAAATCGAATTACTAAACAGTTTTTGGTACGTTATGGCCAAATGTTTTGGTTATTAATAGCAATTTATATAACCGGTCTCGTTTAATGAGATAAGGCTTGTTGATAGGGCCGATATTGTTGGACAATTAAGCAATTGATCTTCTTGTGTCACATCATACCCGGTTCCACGAATACCACGAGTTGGTTGGCTTGAAGTGGAGAACGGTATAGAAAGAACGAATCATATTATCGATTGGTGGGATAGATGTGAGAACAATGATTGGTGCTCCGTCGCTGCAAGCACGGTGGCTACCACTACTTGTAGCTGTATCATTGACCATCCCCGCCGCTTTATTAGGATGCTACACGTCAATCTTCAGCTTCGGCGACTCGCTCACTGATACTGGAAACTTGCAATTCATTACGTCGTCTCAGCGCCCTGATTGCTTGCGTCCTCCCTACGGATCAACCCATTTTCATCGCCCCACTGGACGATGCTCCGATGGTCGCCTAATCCTCGATTCCATTGGTACCGAACGATGAACTCAACGTAAGATCTCGTGTTTTCCTGGCATTTCTTGTTCTTCACTAATTAATGTCAAATGTTCTTGATTTTGGGTTTGGGCAGCCGAATCTCTGCATCTTCCACTGGTGAAACCGTATTTGTTTATTAAAAACGGGAATGTGAAGGATTGGAGTACACAGCAGGGGGTGAATTTCGCAGTTGCCGGAGCCACTGCGGTGGACGGTGTGTTCTTTGAAGAGAAAGGTTTTGATGTCGAAGTTGCTGCCTACTATTCTCTGAGGGTACAAGTAGATTGGTTCAAGGAATTTCTGCCTTCTTTCTGCAATTCTTCTTCAAGTAAACCCTTCCCTTCCCTCCCCTCCTAAACTTTTTATGTGATCGTTTTTACTGTTAATTATATACCTGTCTGAAGGTTTGAATTTTATGTCCAACCATAAGAACCAACCAAAACCAAACATGCAGATTTGTTCATAAAGAGCAAAGGCCTGGGGCTTGATATGCTAATCTAACCAAATCAGATAAAAAATTAGAGCTAATTAAAATTGCAAGCGTGCTGACCAAAATTAAAAAGGTTAACGCTTGCCGACAAGCAAGTAATTGTGCTGATTTAATGGCTAGTTATAGTATATTTCAAGAACATAGCTTTCAGATGATGGACTGACTGCACAAGAATATGGTCTGGTTGTTGTGTGGGAGCACTATTGGAGCTGCCTTTCTAAGCATGGTGTCTTGCGTGCTTTTATCTTTCGTTTTTTTTTTTTAAGACTTTGGCCATGCTGTTCTACCGAAAAAGAATAAAAAAAGATAGAGGTTTATGGAATTTTAATTGTGGACTTGGTATATAATTTTTTTCTAAAAAAACTGAAGTTCACGGAAAACACAGGTAGTGATTACATTTTCTGCAAGTTAGGTCTTTCTTTCCCTGTAAGTTAATTCCCATTTCTATTTGAAGCAATTTATGAGATTTTAGTTTTGCAGGCTGCAAAAAAGTCGTTGGCAACGCCTTATTTGTTGTTGGAGAGATCGGAGGCAATGATTATGGTTATCCCTTGTCTCAACCAAGGAGCTTGGAAGAGCTTAAAACTTACGTACCGCAAGTAATCTCTGCAATCACCTCAGCAATCAGTGTAAGCATTCTTAATTAGTGGCTATTACAGTATAGTCCCGAGTTTAGATTCTATTCAGATGATGGTATGTTGATTGTGTGAAGGGAATTGATCTACGTCATTTGTATGCAAGAGAAAGTGTTTTTATTTTACTATAATCCAGAGTGAGGCTACATTCAGTTTCTCTGAAGAATCCAAGACACTTTATTTCTCATCTCTGTGCTGATTCAAGTCATTTGCTTACAATTTGGCTGTTTTATTTATCACTACAGGAGTTGATTAACGCAGGGGCTGTAACACTAATGGTTCCTGGAAATCTACCACTGGGATGCAATCCAGCCTATTTAACTAGGTTTGCAGTTAAAGATGGAGACGAGTATGACAAAGGTGGCTGCTTAAAATGGTTAAACACGTTTTTTGATTACCACAATAAGGTGCTTCAAACTGAACTCAATGAACTTCAAGTGTTGTATCCCCACACTAAAATCATCTATGCCGATTATTTCAACGCTGCATTTCAGCTTTACCGTTCTCCAGAACAATTTGGTAATCCTTTCCTCTCAACTTATGGAACATCTGAATATAGTTACTGGGTTTGGTGGAAGATACTGACACTCTGATTTGCTTCTTCCGATTTCAGGATTTGACAACAATGTTCTGAAAGTTTGCTGTGGAGGTGGGGGTCCCTACAATTTTAATGAATCAGCACTATGCAGCTACTCAGGAGTGGTACATATTGATGACCCTTCAAGATATGTGAGCTGGGATGGCTTGCATTTGACTGAGGCTGCTTATAGATGGATCACAAGGGGTTTATTGGATGGAACATACACTATTCCTGGGCTTGGTACATCTTGCACTTCACAATATGTGACCTCTGGTAATTTCAATAACTACGGCACTACACTAGCAAATTGAAGTAGTTGCATGTTAAAATGAGACCATTTGGATGCTAATTCACATGCTTGTGGCAGTTTGTCACCTTAACTAAAAATTAAGATCGTTTTGTTACTGAGATGTAACAAGAGAAAGTAAATTTGAGCCAATGAAGATTAGTCATATTAGTAAAGATTCAATCTATAATTTATAAGATCATGAGTTCAAATTTTATTGTCGAGGCAAGGAAAGGTAAACAATCTATAAATATCTTAAGCATTTTGAATTTAAAAACATGTTTGGGCATGGTAATCCTTCAAAACTTAACTTATCTAAACTTTTTTTTAATAAAAAAATAAAATTTTATGCTATAAAATAGAGATTAAAACTACTTGTAAATTATAATATTTGCATATCACAGAGATATTTTTCTTAAAAAAACATAATTAAGTTGGATTAAAAAATTATGAGTCACTTATGAATGATTTTCTTTATATTCAATTATTAGACTAAACTGATTGAGCATAATTTATGTTAATTATTTGGGCATGCTAGTTCTAATATTTTTGTTTCATTTGTTATTTAATTTTTTTGGTAAGCACAAATAATTCCTAAAAATATTCAAAAGAACCCCCCTTTTTTTCTTGCATATACCCATGCCTGTCCTCCGCTTGTTCAAAGAATGGGAAACCAACGAAACAAGTAATCCATATCTTTCAAAATATATACTCGCCAAGAAATGAGATTCAAAGGCAATTTTTTGTTGATTACTTACTCTGTTTTTATGTATAAAAGAAAATATCTGCATCATATAATTTTAAAAAATATTAGTTAAGGATAATAATTGTGTTTAGAAATAAAAAAATTAGACTAAAGTATTAAAGTCAGTAATTCAAATGGACGTGCCTTATTTGGGTTAGGGTTAATACAGATCAGGTTTAAAGTATTCTATCTTTTAAAAAAAAACTCATACAATCAAACATGATCCTAACTTTTTCTGACGGGTTCGGGCTAACTTATGAAGCTTAGCTTGAATTACAAACTTTACATACATATAGAGCTGATAATTTTAACGATTGGGTTTATTTAAGCCAAGCTTATTAGGATCAGGTTAAAAGTATCATATCTTTTTAAAAAGACCTATATAGTCAAGTTAGTTTGAAATGACTAATTGGATTTGGTCTAAATTATCAACTATATAAATATTTAATCAAAATAAGGCTACAATAATTGTTTCATATGAATAAAAATTAAGTTTGTAAGAGATAATTTTAAAAAATTATAATAAATACTTATTGAAATATATAACTTTATTTATGAATAAAGATAAAACAAGCAATAGTTTCTTTTATACATAGAAACGAAAGGGATAAGTGGAACAGTTGGAGTTTATGCATGGATAAACGTATTTCTGTGAAATTATTTGGTCGATCGAAGCTTTGGTAATGAATGTCAGGGTGGGTTAGCAAGCAAATGCGTTTAGTCAATACAACAAAGGAAACGACTTGACCGTGTTGTAAAAAGAACAAAGAATCGTATCTTCTGTATATTTAAAATTAATTAATTATGAAATCACCCTCTAACACGCAACTTCGTCGATCAATAGTCATCATCTTCCTCATGATCCATCAACTTCCAAGATCCATCAATCTGTTGCACCATACCCTTATTCTTCTCAATTCTCCACGACGCAGGGACCAGAAGCTCATCTTTCAAACCATCCAGAGACTTGTTCACGAGTGCAATATCACGATTCACCTCCAACCTGAAGCCTCCCGATTGGCTCCCTTGCGTTCCCGCCACTCCATGCAAATAAGCTTCCAAGTTATGCCAGCTCGCTGCATTCCCTGGGCTCTTCAAGTACTTTGATTTTCGAGTATCGATCTTCAGCTCTTCCCCAACGTCAAAATATCCTATCAGAGGATAGTTTGGGACGATGTCTAGCTCATTCCGAATTCGCAGGACTCGAAGATCTTTGTACTTTGAGAATAGCTTCTGGAAATTTAAGTCTCCCACACGAGGACTCGCGAATGCGAACACTGTGACTAGACATGAATTCAGAGGTTGATCTCTAGGTGCGTTGTAGCGATTGGCAACTATATCCGCTGCGTTAAGCGTCGCAAGTGCTGCTCCTAAGCTGTGCCCTGTTATAGTTATACTGATCTCTTCGTTCTTATATAACTCCACCAATCTTCTGATCTCGCTCAGAACCTGTTTATCAACATTACGATTTCCATCATCATAAGTTGCTCTCTCTCTCTCTCTCTCTCTCTCTCATGGGTTAAAAGGCATTTTTTTCCAACTAACTATTCATTTAGAAGTTTATGGTTCTAAAATTTAATGTGATACACTTTTCTCTTCAACTTTTAAATAAATGACAATAGGTATCTATTAAATTAAAAGTTAATTTTGAACATTATTTCACTTAAAAAATTTCAAAAATTACCGAAAAAACCTCATAAAATTATAAATAAATATCTTATAAAAAATTAATATCAATTAAATCCCTTTTTAAGATATTTTTTCTGTAATTTTTATGTTTTTTTTTTTTTGAAATTTAGGTCAATGAACTGTTTAAGTTAATTTTTGTAACATTAGTTACTAATATATTATTTTCGAAAGTTATGGGAGAAAATTACACTATATGATGGAATAGTTGAGACCTAAAAATTAAAGCCCACTAATCCTATATTGTCACATTAATTTTCGAGAAGGAAATATGTAAAAAATAAATACATACCTGGTTTCTGGCACTGGTCTTATTGAAGGGAGAACGAGGGTCTTCGGAAGTGTAAATAGAGTACCAACCTTGGTGCAAGGAGGGATCATCGTCTCTTTGAAACACTTTCGAAGCTGATACCAAAATGAACTCAAAATCATTAACCCACTCCAGCGTCTGGACCGTCCCTCTCCAAGCAACCACTATGTCCCTCCGTCCCATCGCCGCCGTCCCCTCCTCCGTCGCCACTGCCACAAACCCTATCCAGTTCGACTCCTTGCTCCACGCCTCCCTCGACCACGACTTTACCATGAACGCCTCCGGCACGTCGATCGCCGACGTCGCGTACAGATACTTTGTGATGCAATACTTGACCGGATGGCCATCTCCCTTCTCCAAACCCACCTTTGAGAACAAGTCGCTTCTCGCGTACCGGCTGCTTCCGGCGAACTTGGATTTCTTCTCCGTGTTGAAAGTGTCGTAGGTTGCTTGTGCCATTTCTCCGTAGGGGATGATGTATTTGCGTAGGTCTAGGTCGAGAGGATCGAGGAGGTCTTTCCAATGATTTTCGCCGCTGAGATGTCTCCATCTTTTCGCTGTCCTGTTACTGTACTCCATCTTCTTCTCCTCCTTGTTGTAGTTGCCGTTCATTCCAAAACAGCCTAAGAACCACGACGCTATTCCATGCTTTATATATCCGCCCAGAGAGCGAGAGGTCTCTGTCTTCATGATTATCTGCTGCTTTGACGTTGATTTATATTGCCTTATCCCTTGATCTCTGATCTCCTCAACTTCTTCGGATTTCACTGCAACATGATTATGCTTGTGTGTATATTTATATATATAAGCGGTTGAGATGATGATGTGTTATAGCTTTTCCAATTCTACAGAGTTAATTAGGTCACAGGTAATTAATATATAGTTGAGATTCGTTCTGACCAGAATTTGAAAAAAGGAAATTTCTCTTGTTTTCTTTTCCTGTTTGAGTTCTTCCACCTAAGGAGTAATAAACTGTATCATCCAAAATTGCAGACCCAACCTGTAAATTAATATATCCACCCAACAACCACTGTATCGATCGGGTTGCTTTACAAATAATTTTCTGAATTCTGATTTTATATTTTGACGACTTCAACTCAAATATTCATGACATATCAATTCATATGTAACTGAATGTCATTAAAAGCGAAAACCCAGAAAAAAAAGGGGAAAACTTGTGAGTATGAAAGTTAAGGATATATTTTCAATTTTGGAAGTTTAAAGTTATACATAAGTGTCTTTAAATTAAAAAAAAAAAAGGACATTATTTTTTCTATCCTGCTTTGTTTGTAAATAATAACATTTGCGCATATTACGCCATTATAGAAAAGACGTGTACGTTTCAAAATATGAGTATGTCCGGGCAATTTATTATTATTATTATTATTTTTTGGTTTGGTTACATAATTGGGCAAATTTTAATTAAATAAGTGAAGTAATGGTTCCAATATCCTTTTCAAAGGGGAAGAGATGGCTGTGAAGTGAGGTAATATATGTATGTGTGTTTGTGTCTGGCACTTATTCTTTAGCTGATAGATGATAAATATAAATCCTTCTACGAATGGCAAAATTAAAGCTTCTCCGAATGACAGAGGGACAAACAACCTTAGCCTTCAACTTCAAGTCACAAACAAACATGATGATCGATGCCACGTGAGAGAGAATATGAGATGTGTATGCTTGCAAGACAAGACAGGTATTTGCAACTTGTTCTCTCAATTTATTGATTAATTTCCCATACAATGCCACTGTTAAAACAAAAAAGGGTGATATGAGGACAAAAGGTGAGTCACACAAGGAGAGAATGAAGGAAGAGCAAGAAACTTGATGCCACCAATTTTAATTTAAGCATATAATCTTACCAGGTTTCATATATCTCATGTACTTTAAGAATTTTACCTTTGTCTTATGCAACAAAAATGTATTTAATTATGAAAAAAGTACCCACACTCTGGTCCTTAATATAAAACTTAAAAATTCTTTGTCTAAAGCAGTAACTTTCTTTTTCTAAATATCCTTTGCTTTCATTTTTTTTTTACCAGCAATTCGCTTTTCTTTTATATTTCTTAATTAATTTTTTTCTTAATTAATTTTTTTTTACCAGCATATATCTCATAATTGACTGAACAATTATCATAATTAACTAAATAATCTTCTAGATCTAGTTAATGAATTTCATTGACATTAAGTTTAAAGTTTTAAAAAACATTAATTAATTTTAACTGAATTTATTAAGCTATGTAAAGTTATTATATTTATATTGTATGACCAAAAAACATACCGATATCAATATTAGATACAAAAATGTTCAAATTGCAATGTTTACAATATGCAAACAATATGATTCATATCAGACAAATGCAATGCCATTCTAGTTCGATTAAACTCCATACCCCTTTTCTTAAACCCATTGGGAAAAAAATGACCGTACAAGTTTATTGGGCTTGGCCCAATCATTATGTCCATAACCAATACAGTTAATCGAATCTGACTTCCCTGTGATAACGTGACTTGCAAGTAAATTCGCCCAGTGGCCAATGAAAAATACAGATCCTATATATTATACATAAATTTTTTACATATTTTAAAATGTAGTTTATTCAAAAAATTAATTAGCGGTGTTTTTTTTATCCACAAAACAAATATATTATTAAAACACTTTACATAAATTGATCCACAAATATATTTCCTATAAATAATTAAATGATTTTAACTTTTAACTACCTGAATCAAGTCTGTGCATATACGTTCATCATATCTTTTCCCTTTCCACAATAATTATTTCCTTTTCTTGGTAGGCAAAGGAATCAAGTTGATATTCACATATTACTTTCTTATTGTCCTACCAAGTGCACTATTCTGCAAGAGACATTTCAAAATGAGTAGTTCAATTTTGTGCCTTTGGAAATAAATCTCATTCCTAAGCTTCCTTACTCGAAGATGAATATAAATTCATAACTTTCATTGCAGAGGAGTATTTTAATTCTTTGTAATAAGCTAAAATGTTCAGAATTTTTTACGACATATGTTTGATATTTTTTAGGCAAATGATTATGTTTTTTTTCATGTTTCTAATTCACAATTTTATATCACTGACAAACCATAATTAGAGGTGTTTTTTTTTATCCACAAAACAAATATGTTATTAAAACACTTTACATAAACTGATCCACAAATATATTTCCTATAAATAATTAAATGATTTTAACTTTTAACTACCTGAATCAGGTTTGTGCACATATGTCCATCATATCTTTTCCCTTTTTACAATAATTATTTCCTTTTCTTGGTAGGTGGAGGAATCAAGATGATATTCACATATTACTCTCTTATTGTCTTAACAAGTGCACTATTCTGCAAGAGACGTTCCAAAATGAGTAGTTCAATTTTGTGCCTTTGCAAATGAATATCATTCCTAGGCTTCCTTGCTCGAAGATGAATGTAAACCCATAACTTTCATTGCAGAAGAGTATTTTAATTCTTTGCAATAAGCTAAAATGTTTAGAATTTTTTACTACATATGTTTGATATTTTTTAGGCAAATGATTATGTTTTTTTTTTCATGTTTTTAATTCACAATTTTATATCACTGACAAACCATATAAGTGAAAACTTATTAATACTATTTAATTTTGTAGATATGGAGATACTTAATCTCGTCATTTCTTATGATGAAAAATAAAATTTATTAGTTTAGGTATTTAATTTTTTGTGATAAGCTAAGATGTTCAAAAAATTTTAGGGTTCGTATGTGATCCATTTTGAGCAAATGATTATGTTTTTTTATGTTTTTGATCTACAATAATATATCAATGATATATAATAATATTTACTGATAAATTATATTAGTAAAAACTTATCGACACTATTTAATCTTGCAAATATGCGAATACTTAATCTTGTCTTTTTTTAAAAAAAAAGAAGGTTAAATGAAGCTTTCTTCCATCTTTCAGTATTTGAAATAAGGTTTTTGTCTAAAAAAAATATTTGAAAGGTTATATTATTTGCAAAGAAGGTAGTTTTATCATATAAAACTCAACTAAATATTAAAATGGCCATAATGTAAAATATAACAAATGTTAATCTATTTATTAAGTTTGGTTCTATAAAATGAACTATATATGCAAAAGCCTTGCAACTTGCCCGTCTTATAGTCCAACCAAATCAAATAAAAAAATAAATATTTAATTTCTTCATAACTTGACTATAGTACTATTTCTCGCTTTAAATTATAAAATATTTTTAAATAAAATTACAAAGATGAATAAAAATTTATTAAATACATATTACAATTTTGATATTTCAAAATAAAAATATAAATTTTTAAAAATACTCTTAATTTAATATTTAATTTATGAAATAATATTAAATAAAAAGAATATAATGAAAGAGATAATATTAAAGAAGTATTATTAATAAAATTTTATTTTTATTAAAGTATCTCTTGTAATGGGATGCCCATTTTTTTCCAAAAAGCATACGTTGAAGGACAATTCCAATTTGAAAAATAATTATTTGAATGTCATTTTGAATTTTGATGGAGATCCGACAAGGTATTAAATAGCATGTGAGGATCCGAATGATTAACGTTGGAGAAGGGCGGTGGCGGTAAAGTATGAACTAGGACAAGGGAAATGTGAGACCACCGTGACGTGGGCGCGGCGGCTCACGGAGCTCCTGAGATAATCCACCACCACAAATCAAATGAGCAAACAGAGTTATTAGATTGATAATGGAATTGTGAATTGGCAGGGTTCACGGGACGTGGGGCGGGTCTTCAATGAAACTGACCACACACAAACTGGCACGCAAAAATACCATTGGTCATACTAAGGAGAGGCCCAAGGCCTCGAAAGATGGAATGAAGATAGTGTTTGTCTCTTTTTGATTATGCCCTCCAAACAAGGGCGAGTACATTATGCTTACGACAATTCCAGTATCTATTGGTATGATTCTCCAGAGTACTCTTGCTTCTTCTGCCTTTCAGCTCTTGTTTCATGACATTTGATTCTTCTCTTATAAAGCACCCTGTCCTTTTTTTCCTTTGTCTTCGCTTTTTACTTTTCACATCAAATAATGCACACCGCTTCATCAATTCATTTCAATTTGAAATTAATTCCTGCGCATTTTAATTGTCGCATTGATTGTGCAACAAATTCACCATCTCATTGTCCGAATCTTATCGATAGGCCCCTTTGGTTACTCCATAAATGTAATGGGTTGGTTTAACATGCCAAAAATTTGTCAATGGTGAATTTAAAGTGTGTCTGGATCTACCATGAAAAAAATGGATTATCTAAATGGATCAAGCTGATAACCATATATTAAGAGAAGTATTTTGAAAAGTTTGAAAAAAGAAAGAAGCCCGAATTGCATATATTAAATTATACAAGATATGTATGAGGAGACAATAATTAGTATAAAAATATTTAGTAGTAAAACAAAAAATTTTTCTATAAAAATTGAACTACAACAAGGAACATCTTTAAATCCTTTTTTATTTGATCTGATTTTAGAGGTTTTGAATGAGTATATTTAAGAGAAAATACTCAAATGTATGTTTTTTGCAAATGGTATAATTCTTATTGCGAAAATAAGAGAAGAGATTAATTGTAAATTTGAGTTATGAGTGAAGGTATCGTAGTCAAAAGATTTCTATTTGAATAGCAATGAGACATAATATTTTTATTCTAATTTTGATAAGAGGTCAGTTAATAATAATTTAAGAGTGAAATTGAAAAATCAAAGTGTACCTCAAGTGAAAAGGTTTTGGTATTTGAAAGCTATTATTCAACATGATGGGAAAATTGATAAAGATGTTGGTTGGTTTAATTGAAGCAAGGCTAAATGAGTTATTTGTAATCAAAAATACCTAATAAATTTAAGGTGAAGTTTTATGGAACTATTATAAGACCAGCTATATTATATAATAATAAATGTTGGGCTTTAATAAGAGAATAAGAATATAAAGTTGAAGTAGTAAATGTGAGAATGTTGATATAGATGTGTGAACATACACGTAAAAATAAAATTTGAAATAAGCATATACAAAAAAAAAGTGAGAATAGCATTTATTGAAGGAAAAATGATAAAAAATTATTTAAAATAGTTTGGACATATATAAAAAAAGACAACAGAAGGCATCGGTGATAAAAGTGGAGTGGATAATTTTGAAGCCTATTAAGAGAGGTAAAGGAAGGTTAAAGAGAATGTTTATGGAAGTTGTTAACCAAAACTTCTTAGTTAACATTTCTAAAAACTTGATGAATGATAAAGCACAATGATATCGTGCAATCCATATTGTCAAATCACTTAATAGAATAAAACTTCTTGTTGTTGTTAAAAATATGTTTTAGCATAGTAACTATTGGCCCAATTTTCTATGAAGGGATTAAAGCTCCGCTATCCTTTGAGTATTTAAACATATAATTTTGAGAAACTAGCTTAAAAAGCTAAGTTTGCATAGGAGGGTAAATCACACAAGGTGAGATTGAAGACGACACAGTGTCGATTTTTGCACCAAGCAAACAGATTTTGGGGTTGATTTGTTTTAATTGTTTGGAAAAATTTTCTATAGAGTTGTGTGTAGAGTTGATGAGAGTTGAAACAATGTAGAGATTGCATATGTGTGTGGCAGCTTCTTTTTCATAGGCCAAAGACAATAGTTTTTCTATCACTCCATGCTCCACTATTTTAACATCGCTAGCTATAGTTTTTTCCGTAACTTCTTTCACTCTTTGTCATTTTCAAAGGGGTGCGTCGTTTCATTTTTTATAGCAAGCAACCACCTCTTTTTAAAAAAACTTATGTAAGCTGGGGGCAAAATCATCATTTTTAGCCTAAATAGTTTGGATTTGGGGCAAAAATTATATTTCAACCCAAACAGTAACATTTATAAAATTAG